ATCTTCGTCTTTAATTAGATCATGGTCATCACATCCACCACCACACTGAATGATGATCATCAACATGGTCGTCGTCGAGGGAAGAAGATTATCATCATTTTTCCCCACACACACACTTCTAACTTCTAATTTTGAATTTTTTTTTTTTGAAAACTAAAAATTCACACACACAAACATCACACACATATTAAAATGTTACATCACCAAGCAAGCAAGCAAGCAAAATGAAAAATGAATGAATGAAGATAACCTTAGTGCATGGTTGATGCAACCAGATGTATGTATTTTCACATCAAAAAAAAACGACAACATTCACATAGAATGACAGGTTGTTGGCTGGCTGGTTGATGATCATAGATTGAAAATGATGAAAACGATTATGACAATGTTGGCATTGGATTATTTAACCCATCATTCAGTCAAAAAAAAATGAGGTATATATCATTCGTTATGGTCTTCTTTTTTATTTGCACTGAAAAACTTGTACTGGAAAAACTTTGATGTTTTTTTACATTCAAAATATCAAAGGTGCATAGCACACACCTTTACATAAACTGTTTTGTTATCATTATTATGTTTGGTTGAATGGCGGCATCAAAATAAAGTCACCATTTTTTTGTTGTGTGGATATCCATCATATCTCCATTTCTCTCTCTTTTTCAAAGTTTCAAATGTTTCTCTCTCTCTCTCTCTCTCTCTCCCTCTCTCTCTCTCTCTCTCTCTCTATGTGTGTGTGTCCATCTCTTTCAGCATTTTCTCTTATACATCGTTTTCAGTATCAGCAAAACGAAACAAAACAAAAAAGCTGTATTGCCAGTTGCCCCATACAAACAAACAAACAAACACTTGTTGTTGAACAGAGAAAAAGAACTCAATCCAGAATACAATGATCCTTTTTTACATTTTCTTTTCCTAACCACCTTTATTATTATTATATAAAAAAAATGAGAATCGATGTCGATGACTTTGGGCTATGTAACACACTGAACACTGACAAACAGACATTGATACATCATTGAAACATATTTACCGTTATCCTTTTCCAGAAGAAAAAAAACAAAATTTCATTCAAATCAAATCAAACCAGCCATCCAAAAAGAAAAAAGTTAAGAATTTCCTATACATCACATACACACAGAGAAAACAACAACAACAATATCTTACATATCAAGATTTTTTTTTTTCGTTCGGGTTGTTGTTGTTGTCGTTGTTGTTGTCGTTGTTGTTGTTGTTGTGAATAACATACATCAACAACAACAACAACAACAATTGGCTGATAACGATATATACTTCCGTGATTCAAACGAACAAACAATCAACATGACTTTGAAATCTAGATTCTTTCATTAACAAAAAAAAAATCACTATTTTTAAAATTAATTAATCAAGGTAGTCAGGTTCATTTCACACGAATTTCATTATTGAAATCATTCTTTTTTGGGTTTTTTCTTTCATTAAAAACTTCTTCTTCTTCGTTTTTCAAAAGTTTCAGGAAGTGTCCAAAATACATAACAACGGTCGATGGTTTTTCTTTGATTTTTTTTTTTGACGATTCCATTCGTCACACAAACAAACAAACAAACAAACAAACCGTAAATAAACTGATTGATTGATATGATGAAAAAACCGCATCATCACGAAATGGAAAGGAAAAAAATGCAAAAAAAAAAAAAATCTGCTGTTGTTGATGATGATGAAAAACAACCGGAACCAGAATAATCGTATAGTCTGGCCAGCAAAAAAACCGGAACAAACAAAATTCAATTTATACCATGCAAGTTTCCACTCGAACACACAAAAACAACAGGTGTATTTTTTCCTTGCATTCAAAAAAATTTTTTTTTTAAACAAAAAAACAAAATTAAAATTAATGAATAAAACTAGGTGAAGATTTGATTAAATGATGATGATGATGATGATTTCAAGTCATATATCATCAAAATGAATATTGAAGACAATTGTTTGTTTGTTTGTTTGTTTGTCTGTTTTGACAAACAAAATTGAAATAAACAAAACAATACTGTAATTATTTTTGCACACACACAAAACAAAACAAAACAATCAATTTGTTTGTGCCAGGCTGTTTCTGGGATTTTAATTTGGATTTTCATCGCTGTCATTGTATATGACCTGTATGAGATACTTGTAAAAGACAAACTGCAGATAGTTAATTTGTCATTTTCAAATTTTCATTAACAAATTTGATTTTGGTTTCAGAAAAAAAAACATTCACATTATCATCATCAGGCGAGAGAGAGAGAGAGAGAGAGAGAAAGAGATTATCTCATCATCATTTGTAAATTGTTGTTTTTTTTGTAATCATAAAATTTATCCATTATAAACAATATAAAGTTATGTCGAGTTTAAAGTGAAAATTTTTTTATTTAAAAAAACAAAAATCAAAGTAGCCAAGTGTGTGATCGATTTGAAAACGAAAATATTTCCGGAATTTTTTTCAAAACACAAAAAACAATTTTTTATTATAAAGTCACGATGTACAGAAAAAGCTTGAAAATGATTAAGAAAATGATTTCCTTTATTCATTAATTTCGTAATGAAAGTTTGGTGTCCGAAAAAGCAAAAACTCGAGAAAAAATGACCATATAAAAAACAAAAAAAGATTTTGCCATAAAGATTTTGTCATATTCAAATGAAGAATCAAAAATCAAAAATTATTCTGTCAACAACAACAACAAACATCAACGTGGATCTAATGATTGATTGATTGATTGAAAATTTGTCTAATTATAGCCGTGTGTTTCTGAAGAAAATCTATCCATCGATTTGTCATCTAAATATATCGATAGATTTTCGTCTATATATATTGATTTTCTTATTGATGACAAGTATCGATTTTTTGATGATCTAATTTATCTGGCTATCTTTGATTATTATTGAATTTATAATCAGATATTTAGCCAGAGTAAAAGTGTTTTTTCCTTTCTCTCTCTCAGTATTCAGTCAGTATTATAATCAATAATTATTTATAAACTTCTTTTTTTTATGCAAGTTTCCTTGTTTTTTGTTTTTTGTTCAATAAATAATTGATTCATTTACAAAAGAAAAAAAAAAGACATTACAATAATGGCCAATGGCCAACAGAAGAAAAAATTTTTGATGAATGAAAACATGAGCATAACATTATATCGCAAAAAGAAAGACTAATTAAATGGGCATCCATTCATTCATTCATTCCATCAATCGCCATACATACATCGATTTTTATGGACAGGCCAAAAATCGCCTACACACACACAAACTAACTTACTACTTAAACTAACTAACCCATTCGTTTCACTTAATCTTATGGACAAATTTATGGATATTTAGAAAGGGAAACAAGAAAGAAAAAAACAATGATAATGATAATGATGATAATGTAAGATATGTGCACACACAAACACAAACACCAAAACTTGATTCAATCAATCAATCAATCAATCAATCTTTGTGAGTTGTAATGCGAACAGACAAATGTGAATAATAACAACAACAACAACAAAACACCAACATGGATCACCAATAAAAATCGATAATATGTGGATACCATTGATCAAGATAATCGATAATCGATAATCGATAAACTATTATTCATCGAAAGATTACACGGAAGATCATCATCATTAAGAAAATTGCTGTTGTTGTTGTTGTTATTTCTCCTAGATAGACCAGAATCTCTAACTTGTCGACCTGAAAATTGATTTAAATATTCGCAAACAACCAATGGATCAAACAAACAAAACATTAAAAATAATAATGATTGTTTGCTTGCTTTCAAATACACATTTTTAAAAAATAAGATCATTATCCATTCATTCATTATTATCATCCATCATCATACAATTTCCATTCAATTTGACCACATTTGGTTACAATTTGGTCACAATTTATTCATCATTATTATCATCATCATTATTCGAAAATCATCAAGTGATAATTGTTTGTTTTCAATTTCAATTTCAATTCAAAAAAAAAATGTCATCGAAAATCAATTGCATGGGGAAGCCATTTGAAGCCATTTTTTTCTATGATTACAAATGAATGATTTGGGTGGGCATTTTTCGATAATTATCACACTACACTTTTAATCATCATCATCATTATTATCGTTGTGTATAGGCAAGACACGAATGCAGGCGGCAGATGTTTACAGATGGGGAAAGAATAATAAACAATTTTCAAAATGAAAAACAATGAAAAAAAACCTCATTGATGATGATCAAACAAACAAGAAGAGGAAAAAAACCAATTACCACAGTTTGGGTGACGACTGTGTTAAATCAATGTTTTGAATGGGGAAAAATGAAAATGATGATGGAAAAAACGCGTGTCACGATTATGGCTGTTAATTTTTTTTGCTTCAAATGAACACGCGTAAGCCATCAATATATTTGATATCGATCAATTCGAGCCAAAAAACTATGGATCCGGTCCATCCTACACACACCTGTTCCAACAACCGCACAGAAGCATGATTTTCATTTGGTTTGGTCTGTCCAGTTCCGAACAGAAAATTTCCATATTAACACCGTTTCAACCACAAACATTTTGAAGAAAAAAAAAATGTTCCATTGGAATTTTTTGCGAAAAAATTAACCATGCGTTTCCATTTTCAAAATGTCAATTTACAATTACAATCAATGAATGAATGAATGAATGGTGTGGCCAAGATTTTCTTTCTTCGTTTATTTCGAAAAGAAAAATGTGCAATCAATCGTAGCCACACTTTACACACACACACACACACACAAACACTTGATGAATTTATTTTTCAGTCTGATGACATTATTATTATTATAATCATTATCAACACATACACGCCAAGTTTAAAAATGACAATCTCTATCTATCTCTCTTTTTAAATAGATAATTATAACAACATATACGCCAAGATTTTTTGGAAAAAAAAAGTAGTAGGCAAACAAACAAACAAACAAACAACATATAGGTAAAACCTGTCAATGAAAAAGTAACACTTATATTTTTATTGTTCAGTTGCCAGGTTAGCCATTCGAAATTGTAAATTTTGATTGATTTGTTTGGGATAATTTTTTTTTAATGCAAAAAATCAACCATGAATCAAATCATAGCTATCATTTTTCTTATTACATTTACCAAGTTCGGTATGCTAAAAGCCGATGATAATAATAATAATAATGATCGAAATAATTGTGATAAAGCAATCGATTCGTTTGTTGATGAATGTCAAAGTGTACGATCAATGTTATTGAAAGAAACAAGTAAAGATGATAAGATTATCTGTTGGTAAGTTGATTTGAAAAGAAAAAAAATTCTTTAACATTCAAAAAAACTTTGTTAATTTTTCATTTATATTTCTAGCAAACATGCACGATATAATCTTTGTATGCAAGCATTAAGACAATTTGTAACATCATCACAAACAATAAATGTTTGTATGGATTCACGATTCGATGAAAAAATGCAATCAATCGAACCGGATAATCGAATTATGTTGATTGAAAAACAATGTCAAACATTTGATACAAAAACTTGTATTACAAATGCTTTGAATGGTGCATGGGATACTATTAATCAACGTTATAATTTAACAGAATTATCATCATCATTTACTAAAAATTTAAATGATGCATTAGAATCGATTGGTGGTTTTTTTAAAAATATTCAAAATCGTATTTCAAAAACAACATCATAATTTTTTTTTGTTTATTAATATGAATTTTATTGAATCGAATTAAATAAATAAAAAAATTGATCATTTAAAAAAAAAATTAACTGAATTATTTTTTAATCATAGTCAACCTAACCTAACCTAAGTGAACTATGAATCATGGTCATAGTCATAGTCATCAACCTAACCTAAGTGAACTATGAATCATAGTCATAGTCAAATGTAATAATGCTGTTTTTTTTCGCTTAAAAAAAATTTTCCCTTAAATTTTGGCTTTAAAAGAAACAAAATGTTTGCATGAATGAGTGCACACAATTGACACCCGTTAATTATTATGTGTTAATACAAATAACACACAATAGTGAAAGTATAACTGTACCTTTTTGTTTAAAAAAAACAATTGATTTAAAAAATGAATAACAAAAAATATAGACAGATATTTATCATCAAACACTATCATTACTATAGTTGATTCTAGTGGTCAGTGAAAAAAGATTGTTTTTAAAAAGAAAATTTCAGCAAAGAAACGAAAGAATGGACAACAAGAAATGTATATTGTTGTTTTGGAATTCCAATCATTCAATGTCATCATCATTGACTGACTGACTTACTGACTTACTTAATTACTTAACTAAATCAGCTAACCTAACCTAACCGATTCATTCAATTCAATGATGATGATGATGATTTAGAAAAAGACACAAAGGCATCCATGCGAAAAACAAAATCATAACAATAATAACGTTTCATTATCACTTTTCAACGTAAAACCAACAAAACAAAAAATCCTCAAACAAACAATTATTACATAATAATAATAATAATAATCTCATTCAACAACGAAAAAAAGAAAATTCACTTTTAACCCTTTGTTTGTTTGTTTGAAAACAGAAAAACAAAATGGAAATTTCTTTGCAAACAATTCAATTTAAATTTTTTAAAAATTAATTAACCTTAATTGAAATAGTGATATTATCATTATCATTATCATCATCAAAAATTATAAAATCTAAATATCACATTACAATAATATAGTGATGAAAATTTTACCAGATTCATCATACCCATACGTATTCTATTGTTCGATGTCGATGTTGATGATAATGATGATGATGATGATTTGAGATTGTATTTCATCAAGATTTGAAGATTTGAAAATTCAGACGACAAATTTGATCTGAATTGTGTCCTGATTTTTTTTTCCTGTTGTTGTTAATAATGATAACAATGATGATGATAGTGGATGTCATAAAAACCCTAACCAAATAACAATACCGATGATAATCAGCTTGTTTTTTTTTCTCAATTTTGTTCACACATTACATCACATCACATCATATGAACAAAATTATTGTCAATGGAGCCCATTCCTAATGGAGAAAATTTGAAAAAAAATGAATGGTCAAAAATATTATTTGGGCGCTATATTTACTTTTTTTATTTTTCATCATCAACCATTATCAACCGACCGACCGACACCCATTATTATTATTATTATTTATCATCATCATCATCATCAACAATAATAATAATAATAATAATAATAATAAAGATCGATATTGATTAATAACACTGATCGATAACGGTTGGTTCATTCATTCATTCATGTTTGTTTTGATAACAATGAATGAAAAATTTCCAAATTTAGAATTTCAATTCAATACAAAAAAAAATATATGACCATCGTTGGTCAATTCATGTTGTCCTAATTGAATTGTTGTTGTTGTTGTTGTTATGATTGTCGATCGGTATTTTTTTTAAGCATCGTTGTTGTTTGGGGCGAACATTATCAATATAATAATAATAATAAAACTGCTAAGATGAACAACTGAAAAACATTCATGTTAATAAAGTATCGGAAGTAAATGATGATTCAATAAACTAACAGATTCAATAAATAATGAAAATAAGGTATTGTTGTTTTGGATGTTTGAAAGATCGATCGAGCATTTATAGAGCATCATCATCATCAATTGTTGATATGAAGTGAAAACATCCTTGTCACGTTTTTTTCTCGGTTGATCATTTCAATCAATCAAATCAAATCAATCGATCAACCAAAATCAATCAGTGCACATCAAATCAATTTGATCCATTGGGCAAACCAGCCAAACAACAACAACAACGATGATGACCATTCGATCGATAACTGTTGATTTTGATCGAAACAACAGCAGCATCGACTGACAGACAACAACAACAATCATCGTAATGGTTTCAGTCAAACCAAAATGAAAAACAAAAAAAAACATTGAATAAAAAGGATCAGGATTTGAAACAAACCAATAAAAAAAGTCGTATCGTTCCAGAGAGAGGTGCCATCAAGTGACAAAAAATTTTATTGTTTTTTTAAGCAAAGAAAATTTTTTTAAATCATCATTAATCATTCATTATTGAAATTCAAATTTACATTGTGGACAAGTAGCACTATGATGTGTTTGAAACCATTTTCGCTGTTTAT